GGCCACTTGGACAGGAGGAAGATCTTCAAAAGACGGAAAAAATGGCACAACAGCCTGTCCTGGAAGGCTCCCCTGTGACTCTCTTTGCCATTTGATCCAAGAGTGACATCTCTGTTGATGTAGAGAGACTTGTGTGTTAATCCTTTATGTGGGACCAGCACAGCACTTAGCATGTCTTTCACCCAAACAAATGCCACAAAGAGGAAAAGAGCTAAGCAACAGCAAACCCACCTAGAAGCCACCCACCATTCTATGTTGCCCTCACGCATCTCACCTGATCTTGGGGCCCCGGTGTGAAGGGAGCACCAGGACCTTTCTTCTCTTCTTTCCGTCAGGCAGCTCCACCTGCTCCACTTCAGCCCTGGTCTGGAACCCTGCCCATGAGGTAGCACCTGCCTTCCCCTTCTGCTCTGGAGGAGCCTTGCCTTGCTGCTTTGTGTGGTTTTGAGCTGCCTTCTTTTGCTGGTCTTTCCTAGACTCTGGTTGCCCCTTCTGGGGCTCACCAGTTACAGCCTTAGATCTCATTTTTTGCTGCAAAAAACAAGAAAATGCCGTTGGGTTTCTGGATGAGGTCTGTCTGCTGCAAACACTCAGCAAAAGAGAAGCGTTATTTGAGCTGGATGAAAGAAGGGGAATTCTTCCCCCCCGACTGTTGGAGACTACAAAAAAGTGAATACAAGCAGTTCACAAGCTCTGTCATAGCAACAGATGGTTACTGGCTAGGGCACACACAACCACCAACCCCTTCCCGTAACACAGAAATAGGAAGAGTACATGCACAAGACTCAAAAGCCAGTACTGTAGAACAATTACAAAAGGTGTAATATGTGTAAGGGGAATAACAGGAGAAGAAAGAATGCAACAGAAGAAATAGTTGAAGTAATAAGGACTGAAAAATTTTCAAAAATAATGACAGACATTAAAACACAGAGCTAGGAGTCCAGAGATAACATCAAACAAGATAAACACCAAACAATCGATACCACCTAGCCATATCATAATCAAATTGCAGAAAACCAAAGATAAAATCTTGAAAGAAGCTGGAGGAGGGGGAAAACTTACCTATGGAAGAACAAAGATAAGATTACATTGGATTTCTCTTCAGAAATCATATGAGAGTAGAGAGAGATATATAAAATTTTGAAAGAAAATATCGACAATGAAATTATCTTTCAAAAGTGAAGGAGACTTTCTCAGACAAACAAAAATTGAGAGAATTTGACACCAGAACACCTGTCTTGCAGGAAATGCTAACTGAGTTTCTTCAGAGAGAAGAAAAATGACGTAGGCTCAGAAACTCAGATCCACATAAAGGAAGAGCATTAGAGAAGGAATATATGAAGGGAGGAAGACAAGAAAAAGGAAAAGATAGTGTGGCAATAAAGGCATAAAGGATGTTATAGATTATTCCACAAACTGAAGTGGAAGAAAAAGATTCAAGTGAAAGTAATGTAAAGTGTTTGTTATTCTGCCCTTCATCTTAAAAATCCAGGTGGTAGGCTGATACAACCAGCGTTCCCTACATGCCTTCATGTGCATGTCTGTTTGTAAGTGGGAAGGACACAGAGGGAAAGAATAAAGCATCTACCTGAGTCCTGAAGGACTCAGCCTAGTAGAGAAGAGATGCATATACAAATAAAGCGAAGCAAAAAACTAAACGGTTTAGGGAAGTTCATGAAAATCCAAGGCTCATCATCTCTTTTAAGAGGTGAGAAAATGCTATTTAAAAAGGATTGTTTGATATCCTTGAGTCAGAGGAAAGGGGTATTTTACACAGAAAAAGCAGTATGTACATAAGTATAGGCAACAAATAAAACAATTTGGATATTTAAAAAAAAAGATGGTAGCTTTAAAACCACCCCTGAAACAATGGTTAAAGGGAACAAACACTTCTATCTAGGATAACAAAGTTGCCTTGAACAATAACCGGATCCCAGGTTTTCCAACACAGGACCATTATATTCACCACTGAAATTCTGAAATCGCTCATCTGTTGGTCATGCTCTTGGTATACACCACAAAGACTACAAATGTTTGCCATATATGCAAGTTAAGGTATAACATCGATGAGAGCTCTAAGAGTTAGAGTCAAGAACAATTTAGTCCTTTATGTCCTGGGGGAAATCGGGTCAGAGAATGAGTATTGACTGCGTACTGACCATGCAATCAGTATGCTAGACAACTGACATGTATTACCTCATTTCACATGCATCATTCATGTGAAGCAGATGTTGCTAACACATTTTACAAACTAAAGTGCAGAGAGATGATAACTTGCCAAGGACCATGTAGCAAGAAACGGGCAGAGCCGGAGTTTGAACACGAGTATGCCTGCTCCCAAACTCCCTGCTCTTCCCTCTATACCACACTAGTTTAAGAACAGCACTAAAACTATGAGGCATCACACTGCTAGAGCCATCTAAGAAGAAAAAAGAATTATGTAGCTAAAATCTACAAGCAATGTAAAACCTTAACCTCGCCATTATTTCTGCCATGTACCATCACCCAATGCTGTACAAGAATTGCTGACTGGTAATAACATCAGTCTGGTTCTCCTCTCGCCTTCCTTTCCCTTCTCCTGCAGCGCTATCACAGATGGGCCAGCAGAGGAGAAGATGGCCTGGAGAGGCTTAGGGAACTGGGAGTGAAGTGAAGGGTAACAAAAACCTAATTAAGTAGAGAACTACTCTAAGACAGCAAGCACAAAATGAACAAAACAGAAACAAGATTTTAGTGATTTCCTTCAAAAAAAAAAAAAGGACCATTTAAGTTCTGTACCAGGCTGCGCTGGATCCTTAGTTCCTTTATTTTAAGTTTCCTCCGATCTTCCAAAGAGAACTCCACTATTGGTCTCTGTGTCAACAGAAGAAAAAATGCCATTCATTAGACTACTTAATCTATAAGTGCAATGATGCAATGAGCTGGGTTGTCCTCCCTCAGCCCTTTTTTTCCCCAAATCAGAGGCTGCTGCTCGTTTCCTCTACTTAAAGGTAAGGGGCCAGTTCTGCAAATAGTCTATACATTTAGAGTTCACTCTAATCATCTTAGCACTTGGAACCACCACTCATTCCTTCCCCCGTTAGCCTCCACTTCCACTTGCTACTCTTTCCTATGATTCAAATGTCAGAAGACACTGGACATGAAGGGGAAGATTGGTTTTCTCCACATGGCTCTCAGGGAACAGGTCTCCCCAGAGGATGAGGCTCACCTTCTGAGGCCCAAAGATTTCTGGGTTGTTGTTGATGTGGCGGAGGGCTCGCAGGGCATGCTCGTGCTCCTGGAACTCTGCAAAGGCATAGCCCAGGGACTGACCCCTCGTGTTTCCATGAACTCCTTTAAGGTCTCGCATCACCCTACACTATTGAGCAAAACAAGAAAAAGAATCAATCATTACAGAATGAGAAGTCTTGCCAGACATGAACTGTTTTAATAGATTCAATAAGAAATCAGGCTACTGAAACACAATCATTTATATCACTGTCATAAAAACTGTACTGATAACATGAGTGTCTATTTTATTAGAATATATCCACTAAGTGCACAAAACGAGTAATTTTATATTTTCTTGCTTTTTAAGAGTTTATAGACATCAACGGAGAACTACGAATCAGCATACAAATGAAATAAAACTTCCTAAGGAAAATTTATAATAGCTAACTATTCATAAAACATACAAGTTGAGAGGTACATAGTACTCTAACTTGTACAAGTTGGGATGGAGTACTAAAAAAAGCCCTCTGGAAGAAATTATTGAAGAAGGGACGAAAGGAAGGTCTGATGGCTTTAAATAAGAAAGACACTTCCAGCATGAGGAAAAGCCTCCCCAATATACAGCCTCAGAAATACAGGAAGAAGTTTCAGCTGTCTTTGCTTAGAGCTCAGATCCCCTCTGGTGTGATTTTCCCCTAAATCTGTAAGCCAGATATAGCAGGCATCCGGAGTGTTGAGGTATGATGGGATATTTTGAGAAAACTGATCATTTACAAGCGATTAATCCAGGAAGTTGTCATTCCCATGTAACAGAGAAGTCTAGGTATTGGAGACACTTGCATGCCACGTTTGGTCTATGTCCAGTGTCTACTCGTGCCTAGAACTGTCATGCACTGTAGGGGAATCAAGAGAATCACACAATGAGGTTCCTGTCCTCGAGACACTTATTATCTTGCTGAGACACTATACTTAAACATATGAAAGAACTAAAAGAAAGATTCAATATAATGCAAAAATTATAGAATACACATAAATTTCTCTAAATTATGACAGGTCTTAAGTATTAATATGTAGATATTTACTAAATATTATGGATGCTGATATGAGAAATTACACAACTGACCCCATGCCAATAACACTTTGAGCAGTTTCACTAAGAGTGATGTTAGATATGTGCTGATGGAGTCACAGTCTCTCATGTCATTTCCCAAATACCAATATATACATTTTAGGGATTAGGAAAACAGTTTATGGTGATAAACAGACCAAAGCAGACCCAAAATATTGGCAATGGTACCTTTAAAATAGGTTGGGAGATTACACTGTGCCAGGTACTATGCCAAGGATTGAGGATAATGAGATAATACTTGCCCTAAATGAGCGCAATCTGGTTGGGAGAAATGACTGACAGATAATTTCAGGCCAGTGTAATAGAAATCGTTACAACAGAGATATGCAAAGGGGGCCGTGGGGGTAGAGGAGGGGTTTCCGTATTCACACAGAGTCTAAACGAGTTTTGGTGTGATCCCAGTGTTTTTCTAGTTCAACTGTTGAAGACCTACATGGCTCCCTGCTCGCCATGGAGTAGGGGGGACTCTGACCAAAGGGTAAGAGCCTAACTGGTAGTAAAATGCAAAGCACACAGATCATTTTCTCTGCAAGAAAATTCACATGACAGTACCTAGTATAATGCTAAGCACATGTCAGGCATTTTAAAAATGCCTGCTAAATTAATTCATGAGGATAGAGACTTCCTCACGTTCTGCTGCAATTTGGTCAGATGTGAAAGACAGTTCTCAGAAGAAGAAAAAAAAACAAAACCAAGAAACCACAAACTCAGCCTTGCATGCTGACATGTACAAAAGAAAATCTGTTGAGACAGGACAACACCTCAACAGCCTGAGATAAATGCTTGATCTGACCAGGATGAGAAGGAAAGTTCCAAATGGGCAGGGCCAGATCTCACCTCCTTGATGCGCACCCCCTTCTCCCCTCTCGTAGCATCCAGCAGCAGCTTTCTGAGCTGTTTGTCATCCAGCGCCTTTGGGAGATTGTGCAGGCAGAGTCTGCTCCGGGAGACAAAGATGTTCTGGTCCTTGAGTTTCTGATGCTTCAGCAGCTCAAACTGAAAGAACAACAAATTGTTAATAGTACAACTCACCCTTTAAAGAGGAAGGCTTATAATTCTACAAAAGTAAAGAACCACAACCCCCATCCCATAAGCATACATATAGAAAAAGGAAGGAAATGGCCCACGCTGCAGCCTTATAATGCCCAGCACAGGGAGAGAAAGGTTCAAGGGGCTGAGATGGTGGGAAGCAGGTAGTAAGATCCTGGGCTCTGGAGTCAGATAGGAAAGAGAAAGCCAGCCACAACCGGAACAGCTGCATAAAAACGTAAAGCCTCAATTTTTCTTCTACGAAGTGGAACTGCAGATCAAGAACTCTCACCACTGATGTGAGGCCAAAATAAGATCATAAACAAAATATCTCTAGCTCAAAATGCAGCCCAGAGCAAATAATAATTAATTCTGTGGCTAACATCTATGCCCCGTCCTCAACAACCCACCAACTCAAACTAATTATCTAGTCCTTCCAAAAGGAAATGGAACTTATTCAAAGAATACTTGATAGAATGTCATCTCATCTCAATTCTGCCACCCTGAGGCAAAGGAATGTCCACGACCACAGAAAGATATTCTGCTTACAGCAACATCCTCAACCATGCTGGCATAAAACACCAGTTTCCAGGTGAATTGTGTCTAAAATGAAATGAAGGATAACATTCTTCTCCTAATTTGTTCTTTAAAACTAAGTTAGCAGATCGAAGGTGAGGGTGTAAAGAAAAAAAAAAAAAAAGAAAGAAAAGAAACAAATTAGAAAAAGAAAAAACTAAGTTAGTAGAAAAATGTTGAAAAGTTTTTCTTTCACAAGTCTTCTCAGTCCTGCTGCTTCTTGTTTGGTAAAGGCACCAACGAATCACAAAATAAACAAATACTCTGGAAATGAATATTAAAGGGACATCTGAAGAGGCTATCATGTCTAAGTTCACCAGACTATTTTTCTCCCAGGAAAAGCTGTACCTGCTGTGAATTTATAATGCACACATATAATCCAGTGAGCTTTTTGCTAACAAAATTAGTTAGAAAATTCAATATGTCATTATTGCATTATGGTAAGAAAAGGGTATACAATGCTCTCCAAATACCATGATTTCCAGATGCCTGCTACCAAAAAAGAACACTAGCTAGACACACTGCCTTTTGCTGTCATTATATTGTCACCTCTGTTCATCATCTTCTACATGTTAAGGTTCCATAGCTAATTCTGTTAATGGTTATGCATTTTTACCATTCTAGGCTGGCTTAGCTTTTTGAAAGTAAGTTACATAGCAAAAGTAAAAATTACTGTCAACTAACATTACCAAGCAGCAAAGAAACTTAATGGTTATCAGTTAACAGTGGAAACTCCCATAAGATGGAATTTTTCTAAAATGATTTTATAGTCTGGAGATACCAAGCCCTTCCAACTGACATCTTTGCTAGCCCTTCCAAGAGCCACATCTCCTTCATCCACTATTAACTCCAGCCCATACTGATCTTCCTTTCTTATGTTATTCTGCATTTATACTGATGCCTAATTATACGCAGCCTTAACCTCTTTGTGTCTGCTGCATGATCTAGCAGCATGCTATTCAGCAAACATTCAGTGCTGAGTGTTAGGGAAACAGAATAAGATACAGTTCTTAGGCTGGCATGTGAGGCTAATATAATATTATATATAATGTTGGGTTATTTGCTATTTCACTTATGTGCTTTTTTTCTAATAAGACTGTAAGTATGGTCTGTAACCCACACTTGGCTCTTTGGTGAGCACATCTAGCATTCCATAATTATTTCTGATTGATTTATAAGCCATGCAGAACCTGAAGGTTCATGCCTAATCTACTCACCCGTTCTCTTTTGGCCATATCAGCAGCACTCACACCCTCTGCAGCCTTCGTCCCAGCACGAATCACTGCATAAAGAGGGAAAAAGGCCAAGATATCACCAAGGGAATTTTCACTGAGCAACAAGAGGAATGTGATTTGAATGATGCAAACTCTTTGTACAGGGCCCAGAGGACTATGTTGGCCAGGACATGGTGGCATTTGGTTAGGTCCAGAAATAGGCTACAGGGCTAAATTCTGGGCTCAGAGCTGCTCTCAAGGACTAAAACTCTGAACATTTTGTGATTTTATTCCTCTTCTCCTCTCTCCTCAAAGAAGCTTCCTGTATGTGCCCAAAGTCATATGGAAATGACTGAGGGAAGTTCTGAATATAATTACATTTTAGGCATTTGGAATGCAAAATGTTCTACCTATAACCTGCTCCTGGAACTTAGCTGTTCCTTATATACTTGGGGGCCATTACTAAGCAGTGAGATAAGCTGGCCTAGAAAAGTCACATCACCACAGATTCCTAGTATCAAAGGAAAACAGACTAACATTACTAGTCCAGGCTGTCCAGCTATGCAGGAAGTAGGCTGATAAATACCGTGACCTAAAGGGATTTTTTTTTTTTGAGACAGAAGCAGGGTCTCACTCTGTTGCTCAGGTTAGAGCACACAGCAACCTCAAACTCCTGGGCTCAAGTGACCCTCCTGCCTCAGCCTCATGAGTAGCTTGGGACTACAGACAGGCACCACCATGCCCAGCCAATTTTTAAAAATTTTTTGTAGAGACAGGGTCTCGCTATATTGCTTAGGTTGGTCTCAAAGTCCTGGCCTCAAATGATCCTCCTGCCTTGGCCTCCCAAAGTGCTGGAATTATCGGCGTGAGCCACCGTACCAGGCCAGGGATTTTTTTTTTTAATCTTAAAGCTAATTTCTGATTATTTTTCTGACATTAAGGGAAAGGTACCGAATGTACATTTTAAATCCATGAATAATCCAAAAGAGTAATTTTAGACATGATGAAAACCTCTTATTAGAAATGATGACAAGAAGCAAAGGTAATTTGAATTTTTCCTCCCTCTTTGCTTTGTCAATCCTCTAATGAAAAAGACTAAAGGCAACCAGGCAGAAAAGAGAATGGGACTGATTAATCCACAAAATGGGTGAAGGTTCCCTAACAGAAAGCCACATCTACTAAAGTGGAGCCATAATACAATGCTGTTAAAGAGGACATTTGGGTTTTTAATTTTAAACATGCTCCAAAACATGCTATTGCTGGATCACTGTAATGGCAAAAAGCTGGCTACGGGAGAAGCCTGGTTCACATCTCCCTTCCACTACTCACAGCCTTCTCGGGCCAGATAGAGGTTCCGGCTTCCAGTTGGCTTCTTCACCTTCTTTGTTCGAAGCTTTGCAGCCTCATCACGGGTCACTGCCAAGTCAACCTTGAGCTGCCGGCCATCCAGTTTAAGCCCACCACCCTACAACAGATTGCAGCCCTCTCTTTTAAAACACATAATGGAACTAAGCCCCTGATAAGGAACACCAAGGAAGGGGAAACAACAAACCTCAATTATGCTATGGAAGCCAAGCCCCAGGAGGTCTCAGCATGGCTGGCTACAAGAGGATCACTGAGCCTCACAATATTTAGTATAGCTGCACAAAAGGCCACATGTGTATTTAGGCAGTTGGCAGTAAAGAATTTATTTTAAGGGAGTCCCTTAAAATAGGTCCAAATTGAGAAAAATGATCTGTAAACAGGAAAAATTTTAGTATTCTAAAGAAAGTTAATGAAATGGTAGAGAGAATTTAAGAAATAATGGCAATACAGATTAACTTATCTCAAAACAATTTATACTTCATTATAGAACACAGAAAAATTCTCTGTCACCCACACACTTTTTCTTTCAAACATTTACTCTACTTCATAAATGGCCTTAATACCTTCTTGTCCTAGTCTTTTATGTTATCAGTCTAGGATAGAGGCTGACATACAGATATACATACATACAGATATACAGCAACCAATAATTATTACATACATTATTATTCCTGTTTCCTCACCTATGAAGTAGAGATAATCATTCTACCTCACAGGGCTGATGTAATGATTAAATAAGGTAATACATGTAAAGATCAGTGCCTAACACACACTAAGTGCTCGATTAATGTTAGCTTTATCATTATCAACAGTAATAAGACTTTGCATAAACACTAGATATTGCCCCAGGAGCCACTATCTCCTGTGTTAAAGGGCAAAGGAAATATCTTCCCTACCTCATTCTCTGGAGAAGCAGCAATAAGGCATTTCTGAGCTGCTTCTTGAGTCACGAACTGGGCAAATGCACAACCTGCACAGAGACAAAAATAAGTGAGATCCCAAACTCCAACAGCCCACCAGGAAGCCAAAGATAACACTACAAATGGCAGCAGCCTGGTGGGGCAGAGTAGAAAGGGTGACACAGAGTAGAAGGGGTAGGTGGCATCCATTTATTAAGTACAGCCATGTACCACATAATGACATTTCAGTCAATGACAAACCACATATATATGATGGTAGTCCCATAAGATTATAATGGAGCTGCCCTATACGGGTGTCCTTTTTAAATCTTTCATACTGTATTTTTACTATACCTTTCCTATGTTTAATATACAAATACTTACCTTTGTATTACAACTGCCTACAGTATTCAGTACAGTAACATGTTATACAGGTTTATAGCCTAGGAGCAACAGGCCATGCCATATAGCCTAGGTGTGTAGCAGGCGATGCCACCTAGGTTTGTGTAGTACACTCCATCATGTTCACACAATAACAAAATCACCTAAGGATGCATTTCGCAGAACATACCCTCATTATAAGTGACGCATACCGTACTATGAGACAGGCGTTATGTTAGGCACAGAAAGGTCAAAGACAAATAAGATACTACACGTGCTCTTGATGAAATTTTATTATGACTTCATCTTTTCTAATGCTTCTTAGAACTTTAATCTCATTATCTCCTCTCCTTCATAAGAAATATCCACATGAAATGGTAAGAGAAATTCCAGCCTAACGCCATTCAGCATCACTTACGGAGTGCCTATTAGAGGACTAAAAAATGAGGCAGGAACAACTTAACCCTGAAATTAGTTACAGATCTCACTATGTCACAGTCACTTGGGAGGCATAAGGACAGATCTGCCTCCTGGGGTAAAAGTCCCTGGCCTTGCCTACACAAATACAGCCAGAAACCAGTCAGTCATGAGCTCCATTCTTGGCTCCTGCTCTAGGATCTCCATAAGGCATGTCTTTGTTGGTTAGATGCAGGGTCAATCAACCAGTCTGAATTTCTGCTACTGATAAAAAATCAACTTTTAAAAGCAAAGAAAGTAGTTCACCTTATAGTAAATTGCAAAAAAGAAATGTAAGTTTCATAATATTTTATTAGTATTCCTTTATATTTTAAATATCCTCTCATATATGAAAGCATTGCCATACTTCCTAGAGCTACTGGGGCATTTATCTTCTGCCCCCTATAAAGAATGAAAGGCAGCAGACTAACTGGAAGGGCACACATGGCAGGCCAAGCCAAGGGTCACCATCTAGGAGCTGAGTACTCCTACTTCTGTGTCCCCACTTGCCTCCCATCCTCCACTCACATCTCTATTATAGCACTGGCCAGGTGGCATCTTTGCAAACAGAATGAACGCCCCAGGGAGAAGAACCATGTATCTTGGCTGTTTCTAATTCCTAGCACCTCTCATAGTGTACAGCATTAATAGATACTTAATAGGAAGAAACAAAGAAGAAAGAAAGAAATATGGGAAAAAATGTTTCTAACAGGAGATGACCCCAGTCATTCAATATGAAAAAAATGAGTACTTCTCTCTGAATGGTAATACTTTGACATTGGAATTTCCAGGGTCAATACTAGGTTCAGTCTTAACATTTCCCTGCAAGTGTGCAGATATTTAGCTCTTCCAGGTAGTGAAATGGCATGCTGAGAGGAAAAAACTGTAGGAGTAAAAGGCTGTATGAGCAGGCAAAAAAGTTGTCAGAAAAATTTAATTAGCTAGAGAAAGACAATACATTAAGAAAAAAAAATACTTAAAACTATGCTTATTAAGATCATTAACTCTGTTAACATTAATAGACCAAAAAGGACATCTAGTAAGTCAACTGTAGACTTCACTCTGAAAATATTAACCCAATATACTACTGCACTAAAAAAGGGACAAAAGATGCTGGCCATCATCAAAGTAAAGCAATATCACACCAGTACTTGGAAGATTCTATGCAATTCTAATCGCCTATTTTTAGAAAACATTCTGGAAATGGAGAAGGTCTAAGAATTGTAACCAAACATGAGCGCTGAAGGCGCCTTAAGTGATTACTCTACTGGAATCCATCCACCTTATAGGTAAGAAACTGAAGCCAACAGTGGTTAAATGATTTGCCAAAAACCACCCAGAGGGCATAGCTGGGATTAGAACCTAATCTCCATGAAGCAGTTCAGTGTCTTCTTTCCACAGTACTGCCTTATTTACATGTTTATTTTTAGCCAAGTAAAAAATAAAAATTATCAGGTCTTACCAATTTGGAAAACAAGGAGGTTTAGAATGGAGGTTCTTAATCGATGGAGAGGCTCGAGAAATCCCACAAACCCTCAGAAGGGGCACTTTTCTGGGGAGAGGGTTCACAGCTTTTGCTAGATCTCAAAGGAATCAAGAAAAGATGCTTACCTAACAACAGTATACTAGAATGAAGAATGGTCAACTCTTGAAACTCAAAAGAAATAGCTTTAGGGGAAAAAAAAAAATCTAAGGCAGCACTCCTACAATACACAGTTTTTCTTCCGATTGTTGCCAGTGCAACAGAGTTTCTCTGTCAGCTTCCATCTCTAACAAAAGCAACAGGAAAAAAAAAAAGATCCCAGTAATTTCAAGCAATGTGGAATGATTACCACCCATGAGATGTTATCATAGCTGAAATTCAAAGGAGAACAACAAAGGGAACTTCTTACGCTAAAGTAAGTAAGAGCTTAAAAAGCTTAGGCAAAATTATGGCTGGCAGTACGATTACAGATGCTGACTTTGACATCATAGAAGACAACCTCAGAACATCCTTAGTGCTTTTATGGAACCCAGAAACTTGGCCTGGATTGACTGTGGACCCCTCAAAATGGCACATATTACGCTCTCATGTAACCTACTTAATTAACGCCCATGACAGTGGTCTCAACCCTGGCCAGTTGACAGCACATACCTTTAGAATGCTCTGTGTCTGGATGCAAGACAATGCGGACATATTTAAGATCTCCAAACTGCTGGAGAAGCTCCCCAAGGTCTTCTTCCTCTGAGTCAAAGGACAGATTTCTATGGAAGACAACCAGAAGGTCACAAGAAAGGTCAATTACAGGCCAGATAAGGCAGATCACACCTGTAATCCCAGTACTTTGGGAGGTCAAGGTGAGAGGACTGTTTGAGGCCAGGAGTTCGAGACCAGTCTGGGCTACATAGCAAGACTCCATCTCTACAAAAAATAATAAATTAAAAAATTAGCCAGGTGTGGTGGCATGTACCTATAGTCCCAGCTACTCAGGAGACTAAGGCAAGAGGATCACTTGAGTCCAGGAGTTTGAGGCTACGATGAGCTACAATCGTATCACTGTACTACAGCCTAGGCAACAGAGTGAGACCCTGCCTCAAAAAAAAAAAAAAAAAATGTCAATTACAAAAGTGAGATCCTATGTTCTGGTACAATGTGAGTGAGACATCACCTGACGTGGTTCCCTTGCTTGCAACCACCCTTCCTTGTTCAGAAATAGCACCAATACATACGGATACCCCCAGTGGCCAAGCCTCTGCTATATGACTCTGCCCCTTGGTCCCAACTGACTGAACTTTTTTTGTCAATCAGGTTCCATCTCCCAGGAATTTCAAACTTAAACAGACATATACGAAGACCAGAAGTTGTAGGTACAGATTCACTTCAAAATAGTAGTGCCCCACAAAAGGGAAATTTCTTGGGTGCTGGAAATGTTCTATATCTTGATCTGGGTGGTAGTTACATGGATATATACATATCAAAAATTTCATGATATGTACCCTTATATTAATGCAGTTTCTTATGTTATACCTAAAAGAAAAAAAAAGTAGTGCCCCAAAGAAAAGACCCATAGCCCCCAGCAGCTGAGGCCCAGAACTGTTTAGATTTGCATCCTCTTATTGATGTTTGCTCTTTGACAACTTTGATTCTGTGAGCCATTCCAGTGTTCATCTGACAAACCCCTTTTTCACATAAATTGGCCAAAATTAGTTTCTCTTACTAGAACCAAAAGACTCACAGCAGGCTAGTGAGAAACGTCAAATATCTCTTTCTCTCAATTAACCATTTCTTCCTCTGAGTTACTATGAAATCAAGATTTCAGTTAAAATTTTATAAAAGTCAGAAAATCCTTCAAAATAGTAACATAAAAGCAAATATGGTAAAGTTTACTAGCTAACTACAAAAAGAGAAAACTATTTATTTCTCTCGATGGGATTAAAAAATGTCCCAAATTTCAACATAGTGTAAAGATTCCTCATTTTCCCCAGCTACGCACATCCTTCCAGGGGTAAGAAAAACAGTCCCTAATAGCTATCTACAATTTTACTTCTCTCATACTCAATAACAGCCCCATAAATTATTCTATTTCATGAAGTAAACCAGATTAAAAAAGGTTTTCTGCAATAAGACATATCCTAACTACATTATCTCTTCTAATTTACCTTATCAGGTACATAGTTTTCTCTCTTCCATCTCTTTATTTCCTTAAGTTCTTTATTAATTAAAAGATATATAAGAAACGGTATCATTAGTATTGAGGTCACAAGCTTCCATATGTGACATTTCTTCCTTCCTGTTAGATAGAATTCCCCATGAATACAAAGTTATTTGTATGGCCATTCCAAGTAACACAACTAAAAAAATACATGGAAAACCATGCTGTTAAGTGAGAAAATGGGCTACAGCACAGCATGTATAGGCTAAACTCATCTTGGTAAATATTTATGATATGCACATGTGTAGGTGTTCTCTGAGTAGTGATTAAGGTTAATTTTGTCTTTTTTGCTTACATATTTCATAAATTTCCTACAATGAACATAAACTACTTATAAAAGAAAAACAATTTTAAAAGATTGTATAAGAGGATAAAATATATACCTCTAAAATCAGACCCAAATGACCCTGGTATGTTGGTACTTAAGAAACGGTAATTGTTAGGCAATGTTTGCTATAAGAAAAAGAAAAAAAAAGAAAGGATGAGAAGGCATGCTGACCTTATGAAAATGCCAGTATATTGTAGTGAGTGGTGTTGAAATAGTAAGAGCAACATGAAATAAAACCTATCTCCACCCCAACTCCCATCCCCAGTTTTCTTGGAAACAAATCTGATGTTTTACTTTATCCATGCTTTAGATGATAAGCTGGGCATGAAGAGAGAAATCTTTTGGGATAAATGACATCACCCCTCCCCAGCACTCCTCCTAAAGCAAAGGCCAGAAGTGAGATATTTCCAACAGTTGAACTGATTTATTCCAAATGATGATACCCAATTACAAAGAATGAAATCTAAATGAGGACAAGCTATCAGAACTCATGCTATCAACTTTCTGTGATATAGTTCTGATTCTCTTACATTTCTCACTGTTTGGTATGTTCTTGGGAACAGATGTACTAACAGTTTTAGAGGCATCTAATTTTCTGGGCTAGGTAAAAGAACTAGTGCCAAAAAGAAGGAAGAGAGGAAGGAAGGGAGGGAGGAAGACAGGAAGGAAAAAAAAGAGAAAAGAGGAGAGGAGAAGAAATCTATGAAGGTGACACAAACAGCAGTTCTTGAGGTATTGTGGAAAGGCATACCTGATAAAAACAGTTTTTCCTTCATTCACATCAGATGGTAATTTCCTCTTCTTTTTCCTTGAGACTTGCACATCTAAAATAAAAGGAAAAACAACAAACTGAAAAAGACTAGTGTAAGCCATATGACAAAGAGCTAACTTCTTAAATATATAAAGATCTCACATAAATTGATAAAAGAAAAAAAATTTTAACTGGACAAAGGATATGCAACTAAATACGTGAAAAAAATGCTCAAACTCACTCATAAGGAAAACACAGCACAAGGAATGAAATACTATTTTTCACCAACAGATTGACGGAATCAAAAAGAATGATAAAATCCAATGAAGTAAGGGTGTGGGAAAAAGGCACCCCCACATACTACTGTGATGGTGTAAACTTTCCGGAAATATTGTATAGGATACATAGAAACTGTGAGGAGAAAACAAACATATACATTCACACACAAACTACGAAATACACTATATTTTGTGTGTGTGCATGTGTAATGTGCATATATACATGTGTTTTGCTTATATAATTATTAACTATCTCTAGATACAAGAGAAACATATAACATTGATTGTCTCTGGGGAAGCGCCCTGAGACACTGAAGATCTGGGTATGAGGGAGACACGTTGCTTTGAATGACAGACATACATGCTTATATACACATAGAAAATGTCTACAAGGAAACATCAGAAACAATAGTGGTTACTTTGGGGGATTTGTTAGGATTGGTATTTTTTATTAACTTTCTCTCATTATTATGTATTTGTCCTATAATTTTTTTCAGGTGAAAGAATGGCAAGAGACAGCTGGATGTGGGCTGTAGAATACGGGATCTCATAGTCCCTTCAGTATAAAAGCTTCTTCAATTCTAAGCTGACTACTATTCCGTCCTCAAGGAAAAAGCTTATTTCCTCGGATTTCTTATATGGTCAAACCAACATGCCAGACTTACAGAAATGGAAGCAGAATAAAAATTTCTACCCAGGACAAACCAAAGAAACACTTATTGGCCATTTCTTGTTCTGTAATGACCTTCCTTCCTCAATAAACAAGCTGAATTTATTCTTATTAAAGGGAGCAATAGGGATTGGTAAGTTTTACAAAATGCTCAAAGAAGTCCTTGTTATGAACTACATTGTGTGCCCCCATAATTCATATATTGAAACTCTAACCCCCAGTATGACTACATTTGGAGATAAGGACTTTAGGGAAGTAATTAAGGCTAAAGGAGGTCATGAGGGTAGGGCCCTAATCCGACAGGACTGGGGCCCTTATAAGAAAAGGAAGAGATCAGCGTTCATTCTCACTCCTCGCTCTTTCCCCTCAGGAACACAGAGGAAAAGCCATGTGAGGACACAGCAAGAAGGCAGCAGTCTGTAAGCCAGGAAGAGAGCCTCAACAGGAGCCGAATCAGCCAGCACCTTGATCTGGGACTTTCAGCCTCCAGAACTGTGAGAAAATACGCTTCTATTGTTTAAGCTTCTATTGTTTGATACTAGTCTGTAGTATTTTGTTATGGCAGCCTGAACCAATAATACAGTCCTTTACCCTTACTTCAACTCAAAAGAGTTGCTTAAAATCCACCTTGGTGTTAAGATGCAATATCCTGTTTATCCAGTGATGCATTCAACTTGGACAATCAAGAGAAAGAGGTAGTACCTCCGCATTAAGCTAGGTTTTAAATTCTCTAAGAATCTTAACCCTCAAACACCACTGCAAACTCATTAAAACAAATACACAGTTTCCTTTTCAGTATTTAGACATTAATTTGATAGAACACCTTAGTGTCCTATTTAAAAGGAGGCCTGAGCAGAATGATGCACATTTCTCAGTAACTTAAAGTTTCAAGGCATTTATGAAGATCCAAGCAAACCTTCATCCTCTTGCGCCTCAGTGCTGGCATCACTCTGAGCCAGTTCCTCTCCTCCATCAATACTATCTCTTTCCTCCAGGTCACTGTCCTCGTCAAAATGATCTTCTTCACTGCTTTCTGCAGGGACTGCTCTCTTGACTGCTCTGCAATGGCACAGTTCAGAACAAAGAACCGGGGCTCAGAGAGAGACCTATTTTACTTAATTACACATGTCAATTCTGCAGTGATGGAGAAAAGACAATCCTGAATCTTCCTCTGTTGTCTCAGACAGGCTGAGCTGCTTACCTCTTCTGAATCTGCACAGGCTTCATCACCTTTGAGTCTTTACTCTCCTCCTTCTCCTCTTCATCATTGTCATCATCGTCGTCATCGTCGTCATCATCACTATCAACCTCAACATCATCTTCATCATCATCTTTTTCTTCCTCTTCCATATTCTCTTTCCCCCTGCCATTCTTTTTAACTGATTCCTGAGGTTTAGGTTCATGGCTCTTTTCCTCACCTATGCAGGGAGATAAAGAAAGTTAGGAATTCGTTTAATATCCCAAACAAGGTTCTTTTCTTTTTTTTTTCTTTTTCTTTCTTTTTTTTTTTTTTTTTTTTGAGACAGAGTCTCACTCTTTTGCCCAGGCTAGAGTGCCATGGCATCAGTCTAGCTCACAGCAACCTCAAACTCCTGGGCTCAAGTGATCCTTCTGCCTCAGCCTCCCGAGTAGCTGGGACTACAGGCATGTGCCACCATGCCCGGCTAATTTTTTCTATATATTTTTAGTTGTCCGATTAATTTCTTTCTATTTTTAGTAGAGATGGGGTCTCGCTCTTGCTCGGGCTGGTTTCGAGCTCCTGAGCTCAAACAATCTGCCCGCCTTGGCCTCCCAGAGTGCTAGGATTACAGGCGTGAGCCACCGTGCCCAGCCTCCAAACAAGATTATTTTAACAAGAGTAACTAATAGTCCGAGTTCCTGGTTTCTTTGGTTTTATAGAATTTCATATATTTTTCTTACTGTATGTAATACAGTAAGTATGAGAGAGAAAGTATGAGGGGGGAAAAAACAAAAACAAACAACCAACCCCCATCACTCAGACTCCTTTGGAGTTTGTCCCATTCACCAGAAGCCTGAAGGTTATCTGGCCCAGAAGAAAGAAGTTGCCACTGAGCCTCTGCAAACAGCCTACCACCCATACATTGCACATCACAGCCAGCACAATGCTCGCTCTGGGGCAAAGCCAAGCCATGAACTTTGATCTCAGTCTAAGACTCTGGTAGCTTAAAAGCCAATTATTTTCTAAATAAAACTCAAGTTCTCTATTCTTAATGTTTCATCACATCCTACTATGAAAAGCTGGGAAAGGACAGCAAGTAGAGGGGACAATGAACTCCCTGCTACTCAACACTACCACATCTTACCTGAGGCAGAAACAGACTGAGTATCTTTATATTTATCCTTTGCCACGGCCCAATCCACAGCCACTGTCCGCCCTGTCAAACAAAAAAGTGGCATCAGAAAGACTTTCCTCCTTTTAACATCCTACCTCCTGTAAATGATCCCTAGTCAACAAAGACAATATAATGGAACCTGTAGAGACAAAGAAACTGCCAAATCAGAGAATGCTGGCCCTTAAATAAAGCACCCAGTAGCTGCCTACTCTTTTTAACCCTTAACCTTTTTATCAATAACTGAAATGATGCTTTCTACCCAGCCACCACCCTGGGATATGATGGAGTAAAAAAATAATTAGAACAGTGTTTCCATTTAGACTAGCAAGAAGTGAAACAGACACTCTGGAAACACCTGTACCCTACTCAGAAGTTAGGAAGTCTCTAAGCCAATCCCTTCTTTAGGCACAATACCTAACAAATCAATACCTAGAGTAGCATCACAGTCAGTTTAATAGCCCATGGATGCTGAACAGTGATCGTAGCCAAGAAGCAGGAACCTAGACATCAACCTGCATCTATCAGCAATTATTTCAGGGACATTTTTCATTAGGGATTTAAAAGGACACTCTCACCAAATAAAGGAAAGAATACTGGCATGGGTTCTTTCAAGTTTAACCCCAAGATCAAGTGCTAGGAATATTTCACCAAAACAGCTTCCATGTTAGCAGTGAGACTCTCAAAAATGCAAACACCTTTTTGAAAATGTAGAAAGTGGGTTACTCTGCTGATTCACCACAACACCAGAAATATCTGGGTCAATGGTATGGGCATAGAAAACTTACCGTTTATCTCTTTCATGTTCATGCCTTTGAGAGCTTTACCTGCTTCTAGGAGGTTTTTGAACTGAACAAAAGCAAAACCACGCATCTTTCCATCTGTGTGCAAAAGTACAGAGAAGTTAAAGGCAACAGTGGGAAGCTAACAGAGCACTAAGAAGGAAATTACAGCAACTTGGGCTGGCAAGATGGCCCAATCCTCAGTAAGATGGCCTCTTGCTGACTATACTTTGACTTGGGCTTGGAGAGCACAATGCATTTTCTCAAACTGCAACTAGTCTTCTAGAACTAATTCTGATTTAACTGACAATACCATCAGAGGAATAGCACTATTATTTGGGGTTTTATTACTGTCAAGCACTATGCCAGACACTTCATATATATCATATTATACAGGGCTCACAAAGAGTATGACATGAACTTTGTATTTCTATTTTGAAAGGTGCTTAGTTCAAGCTTAGTATGGTAAAAGACAAGTTAAATTATCTTAATCCAATCCACACCAAATGAAGGTTTACTAGTACCTGGCTTCCTAGGGATATTTACTTCCAGGACAGCTCCAAATTGAGTAAATATTGTCTTCAAGTCAACTTCCGAACACTGAAGCCAAAGTGAAGAAAGAAAAGAGAAATATTATCACAGCAAATAACCATAAAACATCAACCACTAAGTTCATTAGGAAAAACTTGAATATTTTTACTCCTTTTCTTTTCTTTTTTTTTTTTACAGACAGGATCTCATCACTCTGTCTGAAGTGCAGTGGCACAATCATACTTCACTATAAGCTCGAACTCCTGGCCTCAAGTGATCCTCCGGCCTCAGCCTCCCAAAGTGCTGGGATTACAGGTATGAACCACTGTGCCCAGCCTCCATTTGAAACTAGGACAGCAAACATTTCTGAATAGAAGACATCTTACTTTGTATCCAAGAGGCAAAAAAGACAGACATCAGAGATCTTTTTCTCCCCTCTCTTTCTCAGTGGTAGTTTCCCCAAAAGGAAAGCATCTTCACACTTAGTGTCCTTAATAAGTTCTTATTTATACAGGCCCACTTTCTGAATTCAATAGGGCTAAGGTTCATTCCCAAAAGGAATTAAGCCCAATTATACCATCTTGGTGAGGACTTCCACCAGTGAGCACACCTGGTGCTAAGGGCTCTAACAGCCTTCAGAAGATGCAGTGTTAGTTTTCTCTCTCACTTACCTTAAAGCTCAGGTTCCGAATAATTAATCTGGCTTTCTTATCTGTCACTTTGGTTTTTTTAGGCTTCAGTTTCTTCTTTGGGGACTCTGAATTTTCTAAAACATAAGAAGCAATGGAATTAGTCTGTGCTCCAAAATCACCTAGTTCTAGGCCAAAACATCACAGAAAAAAGCTACTAGTGATAGATGGCATTTACCACAGGGTTAAGTGAGACAATACCCAGAACACCAGATTTTTCAGGCTGAGATGGAAAGAAAGGAACTAAAATGAGTATCAAAATACACTAAATGATCAAAAAGAAATAGAAGAAGCATAAGTTCTAGCAGCTCTGACCATGCCTCTCTCTCATTGTTACAGTGCTCCTCCTAACCCCGAGGGAAAACTTCCTTCAATCACTAGAAACTCACCATTTTTCCCCTTTTCCTTTATCTTGTTCCTCAGCTTTTTCTTGGCAACAGTCACATTGATCTTGCGACCTTCAAAGGTAGTAATCTCCTTCAGGGCCCTCTGAACATCTTCTGGCATAGAAAAAGTGACATAGCCAAAGCCTCGACATGTCTTATTCCCTGGAACAATGCAAGTGGGGGATGAAAAGGTGAGAGGATCATAAGCCAAGAGCACTAGATGAGTAAATAAATCCACAAAGCCCAACCTGGCAGATATACCGCCAAGCCACACCGTTATCAGTCCGCCAACAGTCTCAGGAGGGAAAGAAACAGGGTGGCATCAGTGGCCCCTTCCCACTTTGCACAGAAACTGTTAGGCTTCTTCCTCTTTTAATTTGGTGTCTTTGCTGTTAGCACTTCTTTTTCCCCCATCCCAATAATCTCAAGAATATGGAGATACATAATATACATTAGGCCCTAAAAGAAGAACTCAACATCAAAAAGAACAACTACTTCTGCTGATCCAGATTGTAAAAAAAAAAAAAAAA